AAAGCGCATGACAACCTCTGCTTCCCTCTGCGAAGGGCCTATCTTTTACCTTTATCTCCTACATTGCATAAGAGTCATGGTGATTTTCACCCTTCCTTTTTACACTTTATCCTTTGGCAAGCACAATATGTTGGAAAGATCCTGGTATATATGGCTAATTGGATGTGAGTTTTCATGAACTATTACTATTGACATTACCCTTGAGATAAAACGTTGGGAGGCAAAACTATAAGCCCCTATCTTTCTCTGTGTCCGATTAAAACTCCATACCCATAAGTATTGCGTGAGTGTCAACAATTGTGAAAGATTATATGATAGTTGAGTATGTGGACTTGCTGAAAAGCTCTTATACATTGACTCTTTCCTATGTTATGATAAATTGCAATTGCTTCAATGACTGAGATTGTAGTTTGTTAGTTTTCAATGAAGTTTACGATTCATACTTGATATTGTGATTGAATTATTACTCTAGCATTAGAGATTATATGACAAAGAATTATATGAGTTGCTGTTCTAAGAATGATCATGATGCCCTCATGTTCGTATTTTATTTTTATCGACACCTCTATCTCTAAACATGTGGACATATTTTTTGATTTCGGCTTTTCGCTTGAGGACAAGCGAGGTCTAAGCTTGGGGGAGTTGATACGTCCATTTTGCATCATGCTTTTATATCCATATTTATTGCATTATGGGATGTTATTACACATTATGTCACAATACTTATGCCTATTCTCTCTTATTTTATAAGGTTTACATAAAGAGGGAGAATGCCGGCAGCTGGGATTCTGAGTTGGAAAAGGAGCAAATATTAGAGACCTATCCTGCACAACTCCAAAAGTCTTGAAACTTCACGGAAGATGTTTTCCAAATATATAAAAAATACTGAGAACACCAGGGGTGCCACACCCTTCCCATGAGGGTGGGGGCGCGCCCTACCCCCTGGGCGCGCCCCCTACCTCGTGGGCCCCTTGGTGGCCCTCCGGTGGCCATCTTCTGCTATATGGAGTCTTTCGATGGGAAAAAATCATAAGCCATCTTCTCGGACGAACTCCGCCGCCACGAGGCGGAACCTTGGCGGAACCAATCTAGGGCTCTGGCGGAGCTATTCTGCCGGGGAAACTTCCCTCTCGGAGGGGGAAATCATCGTCATCGTCATCACTAACGTTCCTCTCATCGCGAGAGGGCAATCTCCATCAACATCTTCATCAGCACCATCTCATCTCAAAACCCTAGTTCATCTCTTGTATCCAATTCTTGTCTCTAATTCCGGGATTGGTGCTAGTAGGTTGCTAGTAGTGTTAATTACTCCTTGTAGTTGATGCTAGTTGGTTTAACATATTAATACCCCTCTAATTATGAACATGTTTATGCTTTGTAAGTAGTTACTTTTATTCCTGAGGACATGGGAGAAGTCTTGCTATTAGTAGTCATGTGAATTTGGTATTCGTTCGATATATTGATGAGATGTATGTTGTCTCTCCTCTAGTGGTGTTATGTGAACGTCGACTACATGACACTTCACCATTGTTTGGGCCTAGAGGACGGCATTGGGGAGTAATAAGTAGATGATGGGTTGCTAGAGTGACAGAAGCTTAAACCCTACTTTATGCGTTGCTTCATAAGGGGCCGATTTGGATCCATATGTTTCATGCTATGGTTAGGTTTACCTTAATACTTTTATTGTAGTTGCGGATGCTTGCAATAAAGGTTAATCATAAGTGGGATGCTTGTCCAAGTAAGGGCAGCACCCAAGCACCGGTCCACCCATATACCAAATTATCAAAGTATCGAATGCGAATCATATGAACGTGATGAAAACTAGCTTGACGATATTCCCATGTGTCATCGGGAGCGCTTTACATCATATAAGAGTTTGTCCAGACTTGTCCTTTGCTACAAAAAGGATTGGGCCACATTGCCGCACCTTATTTACTTTTGTTACTTGTTGCTCGTTACAAATTATCCTATCACAAAACTATCTGTTACCACTTATTTCAGTATTTGCAGAGAATACCTTACTGGAAACCGCTTATCATTTCCTTCTGCTCCTCGTTGGGTTCGACACTCTTACTTATCGAAAGGACTACGATAGATCCCATATACTTGTGGGTCATCAAGTATATCACTAGATTTCTACACAGCTATAGTTTTTAAAAATATATATATTGTCACACTAGTAAAGGTGCCCGTGCGTTGCAACGGGGCATACATATTCGAATGATTCAACACCATATGGACCCCCTGCAAAAAAACATCATATGGACCCTCATCTATCTCAGGTGGCATTGTCAAAAAAAAATTACCATTAAACTACTAATCTTCTTCTCTTCCTCCTTCTCCTTCACCACTACTCTTCATGTGCTAGCTGGGCTCTAATTTGAAACTATAGCCTTATAGGAGGCAAATATATGCTACAAAAATATTACATGTGCTTAAACCATAGACCGTGAGATCCATAATAAGGCATAAGAAAATGTGTAGAAAGCTCACCATGTGGGCTGCTTGCTTTCCATGTGGGCTGGACTAATTCCTCTTTTGCTTTTTACTTAGATTTGCAAAGACTACTGAAGATGGAGTATCATTAACATGCAATGGCCAAAATAAGAGTTTCCGGGAAATAAAGTAATGCATCTGGTAAACATTTGAGCTACTCTGCCTCCATGTTGCTAGCACACTGCAATTTTGGCACGTTGGTGTCTTGTACCTGGCACTCGCAAGAAAAGAGTGATGTGATATTCTATCAGACACATTGGACTCAGTTTTTTGTTGGCAAAGGTAGGGAGTTGATGTTGGCAACGAAGAGAAGATCCACAATTTGAAATAAGCACAAAACGTGTAACTTAAAAGCTAATAATACTACCTTCTGCCTCGAGACTTCGTTAAACCATCATTTTGTCAATCATTAAATAAACAACATTAACGGAGGGAGCATGTAATCCTTGCTGATGAAGTAATACTTTATTCTGCAAAAACATGCTACTTTTGTCATAAATAAGGCAAAACCACCAACAATAATGTGAAATATATAGACACATTTTTTTGTGAGTGATATAGACACTTAACCTAAGTAACACTATAGAAATAATTTTTAAAAGGTCGAATACACATTCTTCATGGAACCAGGGACTTTTGTCTATTAACAAAATTAAATCTTTGGACAAAGCTTTCGCTGGTGTAAATGCACGCGACAATCAGCTGGGAACTCGCAGGGATCCTTCCTAGTTGATTTGGTGCTCATCCGAAAAAAAAGATTGTAGCCAATGCTAGCACGGTTAGCACACATAGCAACATCCAGCAGCTTCTAGTCGGTAGCAGCAACAATTTCATCATTAAAAAACCCAACAATTTCATCATTAAAAAAAAGCACACAAGTCCCCATCGAGGAGCCATCTCACCGCTCCTTCCCCGCCTCCCTGCCATGGCCGCCCCTGCAAAAAAACGAAACACTGCCTCAAAATAGCCATTCACACACGCACACAGAGAGGAGCAGGAGCCCCATGCGCCGCACCTCCGCTTCCTCCCCGCCGGCGACCAGCACCATGGCCGCCGCCGCCCTTTGCCGTCCGCGCCAGACTGCCTCTGGTTCTGCCATCTCCGCCCCTGCCTCGCTCCACCTCTTCTCGATGCGACCACGACCACGGGATCTTGCGGGCGGACGACGAAAGAGGCCGAGGATGGAGGCAGGTTGCGACACGTCCGCCGGCCGCCGCGAAGCCTCCTGCGGCATGCTCGCCCACGAGCCCACTCGGAGCTGTCGCCGCCGTCCACCGCTCTCGAAAGGAAGTGTCTGGATAAGACATAACAAAAGATAGCTGCTTTACTATTAGGGGAAGATATAATATATGTTTAGATAGTTAAATCGTCGATATAGAACTACGCGAATGACTCATTCACCGGGACCGAGGTAGTAAAAATAGCGTTATAAGCGCCAAATAGGGTATGTGTGTGCTTTGTCTCGTGCCTGAAACTCGCACCAACAAACGCATGTAGTCGGGTTTGCACGAAAACAAGAAAGTATGATGATAGCTAGCAGATTCAAAATCTGGCCAAATCCCTATTCAGAGCGTTAAGCGCCACTTAGCATTTTTTCCGCCAGCGAGTGCCCATGCTGGAAGGACCGCTGTGTTAGATGGGATGGCCATTTGGCTTCCTTTTGGATGGTTCGAGGACGCTCCCGCAGCTTGAGTAGAGCCTGTTTATTTTCTTTGCATTTTGTGTTTCGTTTTCTGTTATGTTTTTCTTCATTTTCCCCTTCAAATGCGTAGTGTTTTTTTTTTCATATTCATGATTTTTTTCAAAATTGTGAAGGTCCTCAAATTCGTGATCTTTTTTAAAAATTGTGAAGTTTCTTTCAAATGCACAGTTTTTTTATTCAAGTTGGTGTACATTTTCTAAATACATGGAAGTTTTTTAAATCCACAAACTGTTTTGAAATTCATGAACAGTTTTTCAAATCCATGAACTGTTTTCATATCCATTAACTTTTTTTCACAAAATGGTTTCAAATTTGGAAATTTAAAAGTTATCAGTCAAGGCGAGAGGTCTGCAGTAAAGGTGAGCAAGCCAGCTTATTGAAAAGAAAAGGAACAGATAAGCAGTATTAACGGGCCTTGGCCAAGGTCAATCAGTAGTGGGAGCCAGGAGGAAAACTGGCACTATGTGCCCTGATATACTAAGCACCTTGAATTGTACAAGGGCCTGAGGAGCTCTCCAAAATCTGCCTGAATTGAACTCAAACAGCATGTTTCAAGGGTGTCCAGATATATACAAAACAAATATCAAAAGTCGACCTAAGTCTGAAGTCTAAAGAAGCCTACGAAAGAAGTAATATGCGCCCATTAGACAGTAGACACGACATCAACCACCTGATGGTCAAGATGCACAGAGGACCGGCTGGACCAACAAACAAACCGTCACTCACTGCTCTGCAGCCACAACATCACCATTGGACGGTAGAGATGCACAGAGGATCATGGGAACCAAGAACAAACTGCTAACTACTGGTTTCGCTGCAGCGACAAGTTACTCAAGCTTGCCACAAGTTCATCAATGTTTATCTCGCTCAGAGCCTTGGCTGCGTCACCAGGAGGCGGATACGTGGCATCCTGAGGCTTGCCCTTGAGGAGTTTCTTGAGGTCCTTGATGAGTTCGAGCTCGCTCTCATCCTCGGAGAACGACACGTCTAGATCCCAAACCTTGAAGATAGAATCCCTTGACTCTGCCTGCTCGATGACTTCAGATGGAACCAGCTCATCTGCAGTGTATCCGTCCATTTGCCTGCCATGCTCATCTGCACCTCTAATTACATTTGTACCGTCCCCAACCTCAGTAGCATCCTTGTCATCATCGCTATTGCCTTGTTGCTCCATGTCTACATTATCATCCTGAGTATCTTTTTCCACATGCAGAGTGTGGGATTCTGCCTCTGAAAGTACATGGGTGCCTTGGTCAAGCATGACCTCAGTGGTATCACGGGAATCTTCCATTGGCTCTTGAAGGGAGTCAAGCAAGGCTTGCTTCATTGCACCCCAGTCTTCATCTGACAGTTCAGAAGTCTGCACAAAACACGAATCAGCCCAAGCTGCCTCCTCAGGTGAAAGTTCGACTTCCTTTTCATTTGACTTAATTGATTCCAAAATAGCAGGCAAGAAATCATCGGATCCGGAAGTCACAGCCTGCTCTTCGTCTAGATTTGGTTCAGTGAGCAGAGCTGAGATATCTCCATCTTCAGAAATCATGGTCATTCACCGCAATGAGCAGCACCTTAGCAAGCAAGGGGTGTACAGCACCTGAAAAATTGAATTGACAATGGGGAAATTGGTTCATAAGGCTAGAGAAGAGGCAGCACAGACATACATATGTAAGATAGATGTAATCAGATCATGAAAGTTTAGTGTAAAAGATGAAGCCTGGGAAAATGCCATCGTATTTAACTAGAGCAAAGATAAAAGAGGGAAGTAGTTATTTCTGTGATTAATTGTGATAATCAGCTTCTCAGCAGAGCAGCAAACTAGTGATCAAGTAAAACAAAATGAGCTGGTCAAGCATGGCTACCATAGAGCACATTAGTTCAGCACACCTGAGATCAAGATAAAGAATCAACTTCTATAGAGATTATGAGCTCAATCAACAGGCACGCACCAAATGATACTTATCAGTAACTCTTATTAAGGCACAAGGTGGACCATGCCCGTATAATTTCTAAAATGGGAGCCTGCCACAAAATCTGGTAGTATTATCCTGAACGTGACAAAGTATTTTCCAAGTTGAGTCAAAAGCTCCTGCCAAGGATTCCAACATGTATGCCAACCAAAATTTGTAGATTAGATTTGCTGTCATTGACGATTGTACTGACAAGCCTGAGGGAGAGAGAGTACAGGACACAAAGCAAAGCAAAAAAAAAAAACTTGCATATAAATGTCTTAAGCTACATTCAGAGAATGCAGAATTATACTGTATTCCTGGTCATATCTGACAAACAATATGCCAAAGAGCAGGAAGAAAATAAATAAGATCAAACAAAGGACTGCGTTTAAATGAACTCATTGATCAGTCAGTGCTCAGCATCACATTTGTACAAGCTAAATTGCAGCAGAACTGCAGACTCTGAATGTCCGAAGGCATTCCGAGCACTAGGAACTAGATGGCAGAAAGGTTCTGCGACATTTTTATGTTTGGGGGAAAAAAGGATCTGCGCAAACCTCATGCAGCCATTCCATCCCTAAATCGCACGGGGATTCGGTGCCGAAATCGCGACAGGCGGTCTACTGGACCAAAGGAACGTGCAACTCCCCTGCAGAATGTTCTAACAACCAGCCGAAAGAATCAAGATCAAATCAAATCCTAGGGTTTGGATTTGGGGTTTCTATGGTTCGTCGCAGAACAGGTGTGCCTTTCTAGGGTCCTAAGGCTCTTCACATCCGTAAGGTAAGACATTACAGGAAAGATAAAATTGCACAAAGCCTATGATCCAACACGATTCTAGATTTCTAGGTGAAAGGAGGAGGGAGCGGCGGCGGCACCTTGTGGCTGCAGAGATGCGGAGAGGCCGAGCGAGGGCTCCTCGAGTTCCGCTCGGTCGCACCGATGTCGAAGAGGGAGGCGAGACGTCGCTCGCTCTCAATCAATCAGGGGCGCTCCGGCACGGCGAGCCTCCTTTTCCGTCCGCCGTGGTACGGTGCGCGCGGCGTCGTGGAGTCGCCGGGGCGCAGGGAAAGGGGATGGAGTCGTTCTGAGAGACCGGTGGGCTGGCTCCGTGTAGACGCGTGTGGGTTGCTCCCGAAACGCGCGGTGGTGTTTAGCACAGAGGTGTCGCTAAACGTGCGGTGGGCCGGCCCAACACCGGAAAAAAATCGGTGCTAGCTCAAAACCGGTTGGAAAAAAAATGGTGGTTCCTGTCTCCAAAGAAACCAACTACATTTCCTTTTACAGATTTTTAAAAATCATGAGTAAAAATGTTCATGTATTAGAAAAACCTAAATGATAAGTGCCACACATGGGGCACAAAGTAATACCGTCCTGACGTTTTTTTACACTAAGAGCATCTCTAACAACCCCTGTATAGCCGAGAGATCATAGGTTTGACGGATGAATTCTTGTGCCGCCGAACAGAAACCGTATTTGAAAACATAAACTTTAAAAGAAAGCATTCGCGGGTGAAATTGAAGAACACATACTACATGCATAATTTGATCATAGGTACATTTGAAAAGTTATATTACATTGCGATGCCGCCGTACTCTAATCTAGGCAAAATCAGAGCTTACCAAAGCTCTCTGGGTGCAGCGGTGACCCTGCGGCGGCGGCGGTGCTCACTAGTCGGAGGAGGAGGACACAAGGTTGATGTACTTCTTGTCTTGCTCCTCCTGCTCGCGGCGCCATGCAGCTTGCTTCTTGTCGAACTCGCACGCGGTGGCGAGCGCCTGCTCAAAGAGAAGGCCGCTGAGCTCCTCGTCCCGCCAGCGACACGCGTCCTCCTCCTCCTGCTCGCGTGCAGTGCGCTCGACGAGCGCCGCCTCGAAGGCGTCCGTGCCAGGCCCGCGAGGTAGTCCTCGGGTTGATGACGCCGCGACCGCGCGACCGCTTCTCCCCCGGCTCGATCTTGACGGTGCGGAGCTCCTTCTCCGGCTCGATCTTGACGTCGTGGAGCTCGCCGGACTCTCTCTCTCTCCCTCTTCCCGGAAGTAGCCCCGCGCCGAAAGAGCTCCCCGCACCGGAGCGCCTCACAGACCGTACTCCTCCGTCTTGCGGCGGAGGAGGGAGTCCGGCACCGGGAGCCCGTACTTGGTGTAGCGCTTGGCCGCACACTTGGGCATCACGTCGGAGGTGACGCAACGCCTGCGCTCCGGGCCTTCGCCGCCACCGCGCCGGCCGGAGCTCCACATCGCTGCAAACCGGAGGGCGGGGGTGGTGGATTTCTCACCGGCGAAGAGAAATTGGAGAGGGGAATGGGGAATCACGGCGGCGGGGGGATAGGGTTTTGGTCTATATACTCGCGACGTCAGGGGTGTGTGTGTGTGTTGCAGGCCACCGTAAAATTACTTACGGGCCGGGTGACTATACGGGCTCTGGTCTGGCCCAAAAACCGGGCTAAACCCATATAGTCGCCGGAATTTTACAGTTCGCGCGAGTATACGGGTCTGTTAGAGATGCTCTAAAGTTGTCACCCAAAAACAAAACAAACCTAAAAAAATTGAAACTTGTCATCCAAACAGAAAAGTTGCCATGCTTTATAATTAAAGTTGTCATCCTCTTATAACTAAACTTGCCATAAAAAAACGTCAAAGCGGAATTGCTTCGTGGCACATATGTGATACTTATCAGGGTCCTAAAAAAATTATAAAGTAAAAGAAGAAACAAAGAATAACACAATAAAGTCGTTTTTAGAAAAGAAAGAAAGGAAAACTGATAGAGCCAGCTGTGCTCGCAGCGTCGAAGCTCCAAAGTTGGGCACATCGCGAGATAGACGATTAACCCTAATCCTAATCGCAAAAAAAAACCTATGCTCATCCGTATTAGAAAAAGTACCATATTCTAGATGAAATGCTCCATCAAAAACACTTAGGCCCTATTCTTCGACGACACCAAATCCTCAATTTTGCTCTTACTCCACTAGTTATCATTGCTTTCTTTCATGATCAAATATTTCAATATTTCCATTCAAGAAATATGCATGACCAACAGGCAGGCGGCTAGGGTAAATTCTCCCCTCCAAGCTTCACAAGTGAGCCCGTAGATTCGCCTTCCCCCTGCTTGCCGCTCCGGCGGGTGGTGGTGGAGAGGGAAATCTCGGTGCCTCTGCTCAGGTTAGTAGTTTAGGCTATGATTTTTTAGTTCTCGCAGGTGCGGTGTTTTTTCTTCGAGTTTGTCTTCCGGGCTTCGATCCTCCTCAGATTCGTCCGTTTGGACGTAGTCGACGGAGCTTCACGATAGATTTTTGCCGTCTTCTTAGGGCAATGAGGTTAGAGTTTCTCATCATGCGGCGACATTTAATGTCAGGTGCTTTAGATCTATGCAAGGGGTTCAACGATGTTGACTGCGCCTTCAGGGTGTTGGTCCTTAGGGGCACGTGCACGATGACTTCTTGGCTGTCATCGACAAAGTCAATCCGGCTCAAATAGGGGAGCGGCATCGGCGGCGCGTTTTTGCGGCAATAGTTATCATTGGATGGTCTCAGAATCTCGCTATAATTTTCGTTATGTCTGAGATGCTTTGTATTTTCGGTGCATTTTTATAATAGATCTGACACTTTTCACAAAAGAAAAAACAGGTAGGAGGTGCTCCTTCCATGGTCATGCCAGATTTCAAATGCATGCAAATGTGTCTCGATAGAAATATGCGTAGCAAAATTTTTATCTATCTTCCTATTCAACCCGGACATAGGTATCTCTACTACTATAGTGCAAGAAATTTTGAACTTGTTTTAGCCACCAGTCATGACGTAGAGGCAATTATTAGCTGTTGATTTTTTCGACGGACTGAATCTCTACCGTTTATCACAGTCAACTCAATTGATCCAACGGTTGTAGTCTCCAAGATTCGCTTATGCAGTCGCGCGCCAAAACGAGGCTGGCGAGTTTTTTTCCGAGAGTCATCGAGGCACCGCAGAGCTGCACCTGCAGTTGCACAGCTTGCCTCGTCACGTGATGGTGATGAGAAAAGTTGCCAGCCAAGTATCAAAGATCTTCTGTTGCTGATTTTCGTGCAAGGAAAGGGATGTTATTTGCAGTTTGATCAAGACACCACATGTTTAGCACGTGCCGTATACTAGTATGTTTAGGGACTTTTATGTTGCATTTGCACATGTGATATACAAGGGGAGAGAAAAAAAAGACGCCGATAAGTGTTACATGTGTGGGCGTTAGGGGGTCTGCCTATACATTTTGTATGGTGTATAAAAGGAACAGCCCACACATCTATGTGTGGGCAAAACAAGTAATGCTCACACACCTCTTTTTTCCCTCCCGATCCTTCTCACACGTGTGCGTGTGGGCGAAATAGATAACGCCCACACGCCCCGTACGTCAGGCCTCGTACCTCGTGGTCCCGCACGCCCCGCGTGATAGTCACCGCGTGTCCCGCAATTGCCATGGTCCAGACCCTCATCCATGTTCGTTTAACTGTAGTTGCCATGCCGCTGAACTTCGGTTGCCATGTCGGACAACTACAATTGCCATGATTGCTCAACTGCAGTTACCATGTATGGTCTGGCCTACTGCAGTTGCCATGATTTCAAAACTTTAGA